GTGAATTCAACTTCTCTATTCACTGACAATCTAGGTAGTTCATCCGGGAACACACCCGAAAAGTCTTAGACTACCAAAATCTCTTAAATATAAATTTCTTTCTTGGGTTTGCCTAGTTAAACAAAACAGTCGGGTTAACGCACTTGATAATAGAAAAATTTTTCATGAGGAAACAAATGTTAAAGAATTTTATTAATTTATAAATGACTTCTCATTAGGAGGGTTGAATACAAGCTTCTTATGAAAAATATCTATAGTGGCGTGATACGTCGCTAACCAGTTTATTCCTAAGATTACATCAAAGTCCCCCGTATCAATCTCTATTAGGTCTGCACTCAATTTTTTATCTGTTATATCTATAACACAGGCTCTATATATAACCTCCTCCAGTAGTGTCCTACTCCCACAAGTAGACACAAACAACACAGAATCAAGTCTTTCAGGTAATACATTCAAGTTTGATACAAAAGCATGTGAAACAAATGAATGTAAGGCACCAATATCAATTAAAATATGTGCAAGATGATTACAAATAGTGTACGTACCCTGTATCACGTCTGGGTTGGCTTCTGCACCCTGCTGAGTGAGGTTGTAAGCCCTATCCTAGATAGGAGGTCTAGCCTGGTTTTGATTCCTCGGGCACTTCCTCCCATAATGCTGGGCACTCCAACATATGCGGTAAGTATTGTTGTGGTGATAGCAGAGTCGGTCCTCATGATCTTTGCCATAGTGTTGGCAAGTCCTACCGCATTCTGTTATTGAAATCTAAGGGGGAGCCTGAGTCATTGACCTAGGTCTTTTGTTCTGCTAAACAGGTATAGTAGGTGTTGGTCTGTGGTATGAAACCAAAGGCCTGAGGTTTCTTATTGCTGGAGGAAAAATGCGAAGGTTCATCTCCACTAGCTGTGTTTTGGATAGAACAACCGAGTAAGTACTGAATTCGAACACATACAACTGCTGTCTGATCTTAAGATGGAGACTCCACCCGAACTTTCTTACTTTTCTGCCTTCATCCATCATGCTCTCAGAGAAATACTGGCCAAACTCTAGGAACTTTCGAGCATATTCTGATACAGTTATGACACCCTGGACCAGGTGTGCAAAGCCTATTTCTTTCAAATTTCGAAGATGCTCTAGGAGAT